ATATCGAATAAACTTTTTTATATTATTCATTTTTATAAATTCTTCTCGAAATATTGGCAAGGCACAATTTCAAACTGTTATATCATTAATTTAATATACTTCAATTTCATTTTGTTAAAATTATATTACTTCCATTTTTTTTATTAAATTGAAACTGGAATCGTAAATCGTCAAAATCATATTGTGATCCTCAAATAATAATATTACAGAAAAAGTACCTAAAAGAACTTGACTTTTATAACCAGAAAACCGTGCGAGTAGACTGGTTGCATGCAGGAAAGAACTTCGGCTACAAATAGCTAAAAGGAGAGAAATATGGTTCGTGTTTAAATCTAGAAAATTATCAGAAACCATGCCATGTCGCCCGAATTGGGATGACAACCTTACCGAGAGTTTCACTATATCAGCGGCAAAGAACATGAAAACTATTTCCTGGAAGGGACTTGCACTATTTCCTTTTAGAGGTTAAATAGCTTTTGAAGTTTACCTCCTTTTTATTGGTGACTGATGTAGTTAGCACCTACATTCTTAAGCTGATAACAAAATATTCCATTATAATTACTACCATAAAACAAATAAAAAATAAAAATGCGTTTAGTACCTTCAGATTTTATGTATATATATGGGCTGGTGTAGCCGTGCGGGCTAAGACGCTTGCATTAGGTAATCAAAGTTAAGCTCAAATAAACTCTATTATGGTTAGAACTTAGATGGGTGATCGTCCACCTGGGAAAGTCACGGTGCCCGAGAGTATCCCTTGGTAGGTGAGCCCGTCAGCCTACTGGAGGCAACTCATACCGACTGGGCGTAGGACTGATGACCCAACCCCCGTGCACTTAATCGGAAATCGGGATGTGGCCTAGGAGACCACAGTCAAAGATCTTCATGGTCTGTAGAGCCAACCAAAAAAGGAAGAAAAAAAAAAAATATATATATATATATATATTATATCAATATTGTAGTACTGAACCCCTATTAACCAACTGTTCTTGTTAATTTATCCTAAGAGCTTAATTAATACTTAATTTATTACTAGTATTTTGTTATTATTCATTGTAATAAGTCTTTTGGCCAGATTTATGGTTAATTTAGTGAACAATACAGTTATTCTAAAGGGACCTAGTCGCAGAATAAAGATGATTTTTCTATTCTATATATGTTGTAAAATAAAAAATAAAAAAAAGTATTTATATATATATATATATATATATATATTCTTAAAGTTCTAAGTTGGTTGATCCCTAATCATTTATATATATATATATATATATATATATATATATATATATATATATATATATATATATTTTAAAGATATTTATTTAGAGATATTACAATTTGTCACAAATTAAGGACATTTATAATAGTGTTCAGAGAGCACATTCACTCTTTATATTTTGATAATGATATTTAAAAAATGCAAAAGTTACTTTAGGATTTATCTTTTTAAAATATGTTTACGTATATTAAATAATGTTTACGTATTATTTAATTATCATGGTATTGTTTTAATTTTATTAATATAATTACTGGTTCACAAACGCAAATTAATTTACTTTTAATACTTTTATCATTAATAAGTTGACATTATACAGTATAAAAATTATCAATAAAATAATAAATTAATAACTTCATAGATGATGATAACCATCGAAATTTTTAGCATTTTATTATTTTTTTAATTCTGTTAATTAAATTTTAATTCAAACAAATAATAACATATCGTCGGTTTATTTCAAAAAGTTATTAGCAACATTTCATGAAACTCATAAAATTTTCTCTCTGTGAAATCAGTACATTGTGCACACATTGGTACCATATATGATATTCTGTTCTTTTGATCCCTTACTGTGTCTTTATATCGAGAAATATGACCGATATTCGCAGAAATGTACGTCGTGACTTTTGCAACAAGCCAACGATATGTTGATTTAGCAAGAAATAGACAGATTCTGAGGCATTGTAAAAATCAATGTTATTTTTGGTTTTTACAAAGTATTTATATATATAATTTACATTTATAAATTTTTTTGTTGACTGAAATGAGTGGAATAATGTTTTAAACAATACATTTTTAAATATAACCCATCAATCCTTATTACTTTTTTATTTGGAATGATATTTTTTGTTTCCATTTTGGAATAAGCTTCTTTCGCCATTAATGCAGTCAGCATAATGTATTCAGTTGCAGAGCTGGGCTAATTAGGCACAAAGGCAGGTTCTGTCAAATAAACAGACTGACGTTTGCATCGGGGCCGGGCGGGAAACAATTAAATAATCGACATCCATTACGGATTCAATAGAAATGGACCACGTATCAAGTTTAAATCTGTATTCAAATGTCGATTACAGTAGTGCCATGGATACGAACAGGATTCCGTAAAGGACTCGATTCATAATAAATGAAACTGATCATTGCCGTATTTTCATTCAGATTGTTTAATCCTTACACGATATTAAAAGGGTAGCTGAGTGGTAGGGCAATGATCTTTTAATGCTCAAGGTCCCAGGTTCGAGTCCCGGCTAATGAGAGAAAAATATTTATTTTATTTCATCGGCCCTTGGGCGACCAGGTTATGAGTATCGCCCTGGGCACACCCAGCCTCTATACATTAAGTGGGTGACATGTATTGAATAATTAATTAAGGGGAGAACCTAGCGTTTGAGCGTGAACTCAGTCAAATCACCTCCTTGCACAACCGTTGACTAAGAAACGGTACTTTCCCTAAATAGTACTGAACCCAAGACCCTTCATAGGTTGTAGTGGTGCAGATTTTTTATTATTTTTTTTTTTTACATAACTTTAAAAAGGTCAAGCGAATTATTTATTTGTTCTACTATTCAATGAAGTGTTACTGAAGTTAATGAGCTGAGAAGTGTTAGTGAGTAGTAAATAAACTACTCAAAATGGCATGAACAAGACCCCATCAAATCATAATATTGGATTTGTAAAACAAAAACGTTTGTGAATGTTTGCCATATTTATTTTTATAATAGCGTAAAACACAACTTATTGATATGGACTGGAAACATAGTAATTCAGCTTTTCAACGGTTGTGGTAACGCGATAACGGGAAAAACCTCAGGGTTTATGAATGTTATAGCAAACAGCATATAAACTAAATTCTCCAATAAAATTAAGTAAAAAAATATATAGATTTTTGTTTTAAAAATAAAAAATGAAGGTGGCCTAGTGGTCTTCTTGTGTAAATAATTTATTTGAGTGCTACCAGTTGGTAATTTCTTAACAAGCTTTTTCCTGTTATTATATTCCTGAGTGCACATTTACTAGAAGAATTTTTTTTTTAATAGAGTTGTGAATATCATGAAAAAATAAATAAAATATTTTTAAGTGAGGAAATCCCTCATCCAGCTTATTTTAAGCCTCCTAAGCGTGTTTTCGGGCATGTTAATCCTGGCCATAGCTTTTATCAGTGTGTTATTACATCCATGTAAGTTATCGTGAATTTTTTTGGAGTGTGTGCGTATTTGGTCGTTAACTGTTGGCATGTTTAGATCTGTATGTAAAGTAATGTTTGTGACATAACATGAAGCTTTAGTAAAGGTCCTAAAAGTTTTTGACTGAAAGGGTTGTAGTTTTTGTATCTGGGTCGTTTTGTCTGTTCCGTATATTTGTGAAGCGTAGGTCCATATCGACTTTTTCCACTCTTCCAATGGCTTCCTGGGCTTCTTTGGAGCTGTGCGCGTACACAAGGTCATTTTGGCAATTAGATTTTTCTTCAATTGTAAAATTTTTTTCATCGCTAAACAAACTCTATCGATGAAGACAATTGGTGTAACGTCCAAGGAGTATCCACTCTAATTTGTTTTAGGGAAGTTACCCGTTGTCCTTTCATTCTTCGAAATGCACCCATCATAAGGCCACTTTTTATTATACGATACATTGATCTGACAGAGATTCCCATTTTCCGAGATATGATTTGTTATTTTCGAATGGGATTTCTTCTGAATCAAGCAGCCACTACTCTCACTGCATTTGCCGTTCTCACAGTGAGAGTGTGTCACATAAAGATTGGGTCTCATTATATCTATTTATAGTTCAGTACACGAACATACGGCTGATACCCAAAGGTTTTTTGAAAATCTCTGACCTAAGTGTTAAGTGTATGTCTTAATTTTAAGTTTGAGCGTATTGAAAGGAAAGAATACAGTAGTCATACTGTACACTGTATACATTTAGAATTCGTATAATACAGGATGTTTTCTTATTTTATACAAACAAAAAATATCGATTGATAAATTGAAAACTAAAATTTCATTTATAGCAAAGATTAAAATAATATTGAAAAATTCTATTAAATGATTATTTTCCTGCATTGGCGCGTTGGCAAGAAACCTCTGCTAATATTTTTCGACCTAGTATCACCAAAAAAAAAATTCATTGAAATCGGTTTGAAAAACACCCCACGTCCGTACTCCTCCCCCCCCCTCCCTTTCAGTAACTTATCCAGAGCTAATAACTCCTGAAGCCTTAATAACTTATTTATTATTTATGCATTTTTTAAAATACTATTTTCTTATTCTAGTTCGGAATAATTATTACTAATATATTTTATTTGTTCGGTTAATGCACAGTGTTAACTATCGTACATTTCATGATATTTTAATTCCTTTTTTTTTTTTTAGGCCTGCCCATTAAGCCATTTTAGACATTTTTTAATATTTTTTTTTTAATATTTAATCTTTTCTTTCCAGAAAAGATAAAAGCAGCTAAAAATAATATATAAGAACTATCATACTCATTTTAATTTAAGATAAGAAACATTATAATCTAACGTGTAAAACAAATAAAACGTACTATAATACGTTTCAGAACATAAATTAAAGCACAGGACATTTATCCAATTTTACAAAGATTTGTTAGATCTGCGGAATTATGAAACAAAAGGACAGTTAATATACGGAATGAGGTTATAAATGTAGAGAATATAGCTTTTGTCGGGAACAAAAGACAAGAGTACACAATAGCTCGATCCCAGATGGTAATGCTAACCGGTGACTCCTGGGCAACTTGTTACAGCGATAACGTTGGCTGCCTCAGCTCCAATCCAATCTTACACCGTCCTTTCTAACTCAACAGATCCTATCTGCCTCTACCGGTGTCGTATTTGGAGGTAGAGATATCAAGCACGCCTGCAGAAAGTAAATTATCAAATTTTGTATTTTATTAATAAATATAAAATGTACTTAATGCACAGACATGACTTAATTAATCCTAATATGGTATGCACATACCCTTTATAGATTTAACCAAGAAGAAAGAAAGACATCATATTGAACCAGAAGTTCACAATGTTATCGTGAGAATGAGCTGTCGACGGTACCGGCAAGTGGATATCGCCGATGCAGTTGGAGTCTCCCGAGCTTTAAACAGATTCAGAAAAAACGGATGTACCAATTGGAGACCTGTTGGTGGATCTCAGCACATTACGATACCAATGGATGACAGAAATATTGGTATTACTGAAACAATCAACCCTTTTCATAGTAACCAACACAGTCTTAATAAAGTATAGAATGTTCTGCCAAGGCCCATTCCAACACATTCGTAATCCTTTGTGGAAAGCTGAATTTCCCTTGGCAGACATGAAATCTACTCAGGAGGACGACCTCTTCTCCATATTGTTGAAGGCTTTTTTTTTGACGACAATACACCACCTCATTGGGGAAAAGTTGTTCATCAATGTCTCGAAAATCTGGACATTTTACATCTGTCTCTTCCCGTATTGTCTCCACATCTCGATTCCATTGAGCACACATGGGATGCACTGCAGAGAAGCCTTTTGACCCCCATTTGCAGCTTTTTAATCTTCAGAAACTGAGAGCAGTATTAATATCTTTAAGATATGAAATTTCTTGTGAAATCTGAGACAACATTGAACATATAAAAAGTTAGTAAGGAGAGAGGTTGTGCGTAACAAAGGATATTACACAAATCATTAAATTTCAAAGTTAAATAACTTTTGAAACCTTATTCGGCTAATTTAATTTAATTTACTTGTGGATATTTTATTTTTTTTTTTTAACTTTGAAGGCAATGCACGACCTAAAGGCTTGGATAAATTTAAATTATATTTTGTCAGTATTTCTTTTGCTTCTAATGCATATCAATCCATGTGTTATATGAGAGTTATAACACTCAAATAGTGGCAAGTTCAAATATATTTTAAAATGTGGGGAAAAATATGAATTTTTCAAATTTCTACACTTTTAGCAAGGTGCGCGATCAAACTAAACAAATTGATTTTTTTTTATGATTTGCAATATCTCTATAAATAGTATCTTATAACGATTCGGGAAAAAATGTTATGTTAAAAAAAGTATACACTAGATATTAATATCCTCTTGTTTTGAAAGTATGTCATTTTGAACCGCCAGCCAAATCAAAATTTTCATCCTGAGTTTTCTGTTCATTGAAAATTCGATGTTTCAAATTTGAATCAGTTCCGGCTATTTTTTTTTTAAGAAAACGTCAATAAATAGCTTCTTATGTAAATATCAATTTCATTATAAACGGATGTTTCTTTGCTAAGCTTGGTGCTCTTAAGTGTCTTTTATAACATATATTTATTTATATTTTATACTTGACTTATGGTATCTTCTTTCGATGTTTCAGACAAGGCTCCGTCGGAGGCGACCTTCCGAGGAGTGGAGTACCTGTACTACGATCTGAGCAGGACCGGAGGAGAACCAATAGTCAGCAACCAGGACTCCATCTCCCTCTACTTCAAGACAAGGCATCCCTCCGGTCTCCTCTTCCACACTGGTCAGTCGATTTCTCCTCCTTTATTTACAAATAAATATAACTCATAAATAAATAAAATAAACGGAGATATATTGTAGTAATATCATGATAGTTAATTGTGAATTCCAAAAAGATATCGGCAACTTAAAAATGTTTTTCTAGGAGAAAAACATATTGTGGAAATACGGACTTTGAAAACTTTGCGTGTTTGAGGGATTTTAAACTTGATAGAAAAAAAAGTTCTTAAATATATTAATATATTTTGTCATGAAGTTCTTCAAGATACATAAATGTTTTATAATGCTAAGTAAATTTTAAAAAATAATAAAATATTTTATTTTAGTAGTTACCAATTGAAAGAAAATTCTTATTGCTAAATACTATTTTAAAATAAATGTATAGATAAGTGGATTTATTATATTTTTCAAGTGTATACAAAAAAGCTGAACTAATATTCTATGATTTAAAATGATATTATTATAAAAAAATATATCTGATTTCAATAATTGAAATTGATTACTTAATATTAATATAGAATGTGAATATTACCATTTTGGTGAAATTTGAATTTTTTTTTTCTAAAATAAGCTTAAATTTTAATGTAGACTGGAACTTTTTTATCGTTTATTTATTTGTGATATTTACAACTGTACTAATAGATAAAATTCATTCAGCAAATTTGATAACAAAAAAAAAATAAAACATGAAATCACTACCCACTGGTAGTATTCTAAAAAAAAAAGTATTTACAACAGCAGATCCCGAGGCCATCTTCTTGTCAGACACCTCAGAGGGTTATCACCGACAGAAGAGAAAGCAAGATTAGAAACGAGAGGATTTGGATGGTTCTAAAGTTTATCATGGAAGGACGGGTATCTGCATTGGTCTAAATCGGAAGCATATGGTATATTAAGGTCGTTATGGATTATTTTATTGGTGACAAAGTAAGGAGTATTGAGGATTTTGGATTGTAAGGATTTGATACGAGAAGAATTCGATGGCTTAGTGAAGCCCCAAAGCTCAACTCTGTAAGTTCAAATAGGTCTTATTTTAGTCATGTATATGAATCTTTTGTAATTTATTGGAAGCTTAGAGCGTTTGTCTAGTAAGTGTTGGAGTAGTCGGAAACGTCGAGCAGTTTTTTGTCGTTTCAGACTGTAAATGAAATTTAATTCATATTTGAGAGTGGTTATCATGAGATGGAAAATTTAATTACTCAAGTCAAAACAACCTTAGATAAGAAATAGCTACGTCACGTCCAAGAATTGAATATTCAATAACAAAACGAATCTTTACCCGTTCACCTCATTGATGCCAAAACTACAAAATCAACTTGGAATAATGTTAATGAAAAGAGCATTGTTTTTCCTGATAAACCTTTCCAAGTGCATATTCAGGAATGTGAAATAAATAAACTATATAAAACATTACATCTTTGTCTTAAGCACAAGATATAAATCAAACAGAAAATATAATTATTAAAATAAAAATTGCACTATCCTCGGATTACTTATTCGGACTTGCAAGCATCTGCTAATGATAATCCCTAATATTTAAAAAATACAGTTTAACAATGGTCCGTTAATTGAGTCAGAAATAACAAAAACGAGGAACGGAATTTCGGTTGTTTTGGGGAAATGATATCTATAAATGGGTGAAGTAATGTACTTTCTTGTCAAATTAAAGATTTATAGACAGATCTGAGAACGCCCAGGTGAAGCGTTACCGTAAAGCTTCATATATTTAAAATGTGCGTATACCTAAATATTTTTTCAATGGTGTTTTTATTTTTTTTTTCAAATGGAGGTTGGATATTGTTTAGATATACGTGGTACTCAATAACGCAATGTTCACCGAGACAATTTTTTGTTTTATTTTGGGACCAAAAGGCTTGAAGAATAATATTTTTAAAAAAACAATAATTTATCATTACGTTATTGTGTCCTACAAAAAAAGGGAGAGGGAGAGGAAAAGAATAGAGTAATCATGATTTTTTTTTATCTAACCAAAGTTATTAATGGTTTCCTTGGTAGAATATTTTGGTTTGTTTTTCTTAAAAATTCAATAAAGTATTCAAATCTTCAGGATAAAGATTTTTTTATCTCCTTATTTAAATAATATATCTCCAACTAAACTCGAAAAGTCTGGAAGCTAGAAAGCTAAACATATTTATAAACCGAAATAAGCGGCTTATTACCTGTTTTATTAAGAAGGTTTTATAGGTGTGAATGTGTTTTATCTATTTTAATTTCATTTAATTTCTGTCTATTATATCATTTTTTTTGTACATATGTATGTTTTCTTATTTTATTTATTAAAATTCTTTTTCTTTATTATCTCTATTTTAGTTATTATTTGTATGCATATATTGTGTGAATATTTAATGTAGCCCTAATATTAATGCCCTCCAATGTGTCAGAATATATTAATTTTCAACAAATAAAAAAATAATAATAAAGTTTTACTACAGGCTTCAGATAAAGATGTAATGTTTCAGATAACGTTTTTTGTTTAGATTTCTAAATATGGGTGAGACCAATATTGCCAAGAAAATCTCAAAATCTTACTTTCTGATAAAATTGTACTAACAGGCTTTTGCAGTGTGGCCGTCAACTTTATAAAAAAAAAGTAATGTTCAGTAGAAACTTCGAGTTCCATTTCCTCTACTCATAATTATTATAGCTGTTGATCTGACAATGAGCCGCTCGAAAGATAGATCAAGCCGTAGATGGGAGGATAATATGAAGTATAACCTTATCACTCATTGTTTTGAACTCTTAGAGGCAATATGCAAGCTTCCTTTGGTGATATTAATATTAGGGTTAAATGATTCTTATAATTTATTTATGATAATATTAAATTTAAAGAGTTCAGACGGTTACACAACGCCGAATTGCGTGAACTATATCCAGTTAATATAATTGAGGTGATTACATCGCGGAGAATCGGCTTATAAAATAGTTGGGCTTAGTAACGAAAGAATTCCTAAAAGGCTGATATTTGCTGTACCGAACAGTAAAAGTCCGAGTGGTATACCGAAGCGAAGGTGGGAAGATTGCGTTAAAGCCGATCTGAAGGGACTGGGTTTGGACGGCGAACGGTTGATGAAGGTGTGTAATCAGCGATTGGTGGTGTCGGCATCGAACCTTCAGGTTCGCCAAGTCTTTTATTTTTAGTATTATTATATTAAATTTAAATTAGTAGTTTAATAGTTTAATTACCCTCAACTGCTGAGCTCGAACTCTTGGAATACCACACCTTGAGGAATAGAGCAAGGAGCACACCTAGGCAGAGGAAGAATGTAGAACCTTCCGGGTCAGGACACAAACTGCTTTCTTTGTCCCTTTGTGCCCAGCGTTCCACTCTTTGTGTCATTGTTGTTTTCTTCTTGTTTTCCGTTCCCTCTTTGCCATTTTCCTTCGCATTAGAGCTAAGGGCCAACTTTGTTAATTCCTTACGGTTAGGAACATCCTTTGTCCTCATTTGCCCACTTGGATGTGAGATTTTTCGAGATGTCAGTAAGCAATAAAGGTTGGGACATTTTTAATTTTCTCCAATTAAAAAAACAACTCTACTTCAAGTTTTTTTTTTTCCGATTTGTGACTTGATAAGCTTTCATAATTCTATTTGTATGAATACTTTTTTTAAATCTAATGTCGTGCAAAAAGTTCTAGAAATAAATATTCAAACATATAATATATACGATTTCATGATAATGATGCTGTATGAAACCAAACGTTTTATTTCGAACAATAGTAATAATATATTCAAAATATATTTTTATAGATATTTTTTTCTATTTAATCCGTTAAAAACAATATCTACAACCCTGCCATCTTTACAACCTTTGTACCGGTCGTACCCACTAGTTCGACAAAATATCCTAATATGCAAAGTATTTTTATTTACTTTTTTTATTTATTTATCAACACTACTAACCAAACCTTGATTGGAAACATACGTTTTTTATTTCAGAATCATTGATAAATGTTAACTTTTCTTTCCAGTAATGAAATGTTTCAGTATTTTTATTCATTGAAAAAAAAAGTAATTGTATGTGAATCAATGTAGTTAATACATTTATTACTCCACTGAATAATGATGTGTGTTATCTGTTTTTGTTTATATCAAATATAATTAAGATAACATTGCTGCGACTATAATGAGCGAATGAAGTTTCTGTTATAAGAAAGGTATTCTAAAGATAAACATATAAGCATCAACGAGCCAACAATAACAATAACAAAGAAAATCACAATAATACAATAAAATTATAACAATACTTAATAAAATAAAAACAATTACAATAACGCAATTGGGTCAGATGGAAGTATCCTGTTAGCTTATATTACATCAAGTTTAGGTAGAAACGAGGGTGGTATGTATAGTGGCTCCTCTAACTTCACTTGAACGTTTTCTCAAAAAGGAATATTTTAACTAAACTCGAAGAAAAAGGTCTCCTTTCATCCATTAAAGATAATGTTTCTTCTTCTATTAAACATTGACGGGAAAGAGCGTTAAATATCTATTGAGCATCGAATCAGTAATGGAGGAAACGGGGCTGTTTCAATTAATAATAACGGCATTGTTTTATAGAAGCATCTTCTATAATTAAATTGTTTCAAAGGGTCCCTTTTTCGTGAGTTTACTAAAAGTATATTTTGTTGACGGAACGTTAAAGTGGAGTTAGAGGAACGACCATTTATACCACCATAAGTCTCTACATGTTTCTATAAAGGAAGAGGTTTTAGGATCATCATTATTGAACTTATAGTTCTAATATAATATAACCTCATTATAGTTATGTTATTGATGAATATAATATATATGTATATATATATATATATATATATATATATATATAGGATCCTGGTATATATATAACAGGAAATGTATGCCTTTTTCACTTCATTTATTTATTTTAATAATTTATTTTTATATTCGTGACTTAATAAATTCTGGAAAAGCACTTACGTAATATGGACCAACGTTTTTCATTACTATTAAAGCGTCTTAAGACGGTAAAAGTATTGAACAGATATTCTCGGGCGTGATTGCAGAGTTCCCT